GTTGCAAATGGCAAATACTAATTTCCTCTCCACCTTATCCCCCGAACACTGCAGACCTTTGGCGGGGGAATGCATGAACAAGCTCAAATGCGGCGCTGCTGAAGCAGAGATAATGAATCTCCCCGAGCGGGTGGGGACTTTTTCCGCTATCCCGGCTTTAGGGGGCATCTCATTACCTCCAGGGGTCATCGTCATGACAGCCCTTCACTCCCCCGCAGCAGCCTCAGCAGCCGTCACAGACAGTGCGTTTCAAATTGCCAATCTGGCAGACTGCCCGCAGAATCATTCCTCCTCCTCCTCGTCCTCCTCGGGGGGAGCTGGCGGAGCCAACCCGGCCAAGAAGAAGAGGAAAAGGTGTGGGGTCTGTGTGCCCTGCAAGAGGCTCATCAACTGTGGCGTCTGCAGCAGTTGCAGGAACCGCAAAACGGGACACCAGATCTGCAAATTTAGAAAATGTGAAGAGCTAAAGAAAAAACCTGGCACTTCGCTAGAGGTCAGAGGAGATGATTTCTTGTTTCCCAGTCTTGCCCCCTCCCTCCTCACCCCCTTCTCCTCTCCCACACAGGGTTTCTTGTCTGGCTTCAAGACACAGCACCCCCTTTTCTGAAGCTTCTTGCAGGTTGTAACATGTTGCCATAGGTGGTTTGCAGAGGGCATGGCCTTTACACACACCACCCTCCAGTCTCCACTTCACCTGGAACAGCCCTTCTGCTAGAAGGGGACCCCTCCTTTCTTATCTCTGAAAAAAAAAAAAAAAGCGATTGATCTAAGAATCCGAAGTTTTACATTTGAGTATGGTTAATATTTTTCCCTTGCTGGTTTGAACTGTGCTCTCAGGAAAATCCAAAACAAATAGCTCTGCCCAAAAATATTGAACACGTCCACCACATACATACATAATACATACATACATACATATATGCACACAACCTACAGTATACGTATACATATGTATATATACCATGATCATACATATTATATATATCATATATAGGTGTGTGTGCTGAAATGCCTGGACTCAAGGGGGGATTTTTGTCCTCTCTTACAGTAATTTTCTCTTTGGTCTGATAGAATGCTTTTGTTTGTTTTACTTTTTGCCTTCCTGATATATATATATATATATATATATATATATATATTTGAGAAGCAAAAATCCTATAGACTGCTGATAGTCAACAGCCATCTTTGAAATGGGACTTTGAGTAAAGTGGTAGTTATTTACTATTGAGGCTAATGGGGGCTTGATTTTTAAAATATTTTCTGTAGTTCCAGAAAAACTCAGTGTTTTTTTTTTGTTATTGTTGTTATTGCTGTTGTATTATTTCTCACATTTCCCTGGGGTTCTCTATCTGACAAAGTATCTATTTGATGGCTGCAAAATTATTCCAAACAGAGAAGTTTTGCTTCATACCATATATAGTGATAGCTTACTTTTCCTATAGGTCCTGAAAACAGACAATAGTCACTAAAGTAATGCTAAAATTAGACTTTTAATTGTATTCCAAATTAAGATGGATGTGCGTGATGAACATCTTATTTGATATCATAATCAAAATACAAAAGGGAGAAATGCAGAGTTATAGGCATATTGTTTTGGTGACATATTAAGAAGGAAATATGGACAGGCAATTATAGTCTACGAGGAAACAGAGTGAGTAAGGTTTGTGCATATGTGAGACCGGGCAATCTGTTTAGTGTTTGGGAAGGTCTGTGGCCTAGAGTGCAGGTTGAGTGACTGTCACAGTCTGTCCTGAGGAATACTTATACATCCTTTTAAAAATTAGGAACATAGTCTAGGGATGTTTTCTTTCAGTCATCGAGAATTGGAGTTTCAACAAATAAAGGAAAAAGTTCAAAGATCTTGCTTCTGGTTTGACTGTGAAGAAGATGGATCATTTCACTTTGTTGGGTACAAGCCAAGGACAAGGGACTGGGATTCCCAAAGCCAGAAGCATCATGGGCTGCAGTTCTATCACAATAGTGCATGTATTTCTCTTTATAAAGAAGCCATATCTTCTTGGGAGCTTTAATTTTACCACATTACTTCAGTGTTCTTTCTTTGGACAACTCTGGTCAAGCAAGGATAGCAGCAGCTACAGAACAGGTCCCCACACTTTCTCAGAGGACAAAAGCTAACTTTTTGAACTCTCTTTTGGGGCTTAATTTACAATGACTTCTCTAGGTCTGGAAGATCATAGGAAATTAAAATTCACCTTACATTGTGTTTTCCTGCAAATGCCAGTGAATAGGATTATATGGTTTCTGTTTTCTCTTTGAAAAGTAGTAATATGTAGAGTTCTAGGTTTGGTATAGTTAGGCATCAGCTTTAGCTACAGTCCCTGCATCACTCTGTACACCATTATAGGGAATGTAGCAGACAGGAACACTGACTAATTCTTGCTTATTTAGTTAGTAAGTACTCTGGAAGAGTTTGCTATGATTTCTGATTGACTTTCAGAAATGTTTCTGTTGTGTTCATCTAAACAGGTTTCATAGATTTCTTCTCTCTCTTGATGGTTTCCCTCAAACTTTATTTTTTCCCTGTGATTCTAAACATAGAATCATTTTGTTTTTGAAAATTAGCAAGTACAAAAATTGTGTGGCCCCTCAGAAGGTGGGGGCGTGGGTAGAGAGAATGCCTATTGCCCTCTGTAGATGTTTCCCTGACTGAAGGTTCCTTCCTACCAGAGCATTGGCTGTGTATCCAGGACATGATCATTAATGGAATACTCCGAAGAATGAAAGGAAAAAGTTTTCAAAGTTGTCTGAGTGTTTATCTAGCTCATGAATAATGTAATGTAATTACAGTGCCGTTACCTCAAACCCACATGCAACCTTCAGCTACAGTTGTAGCTTAAGCTATCTTCCAAAGCTTCTGTATGGAGGGAGTCACAGACCCTGAATGACTGAGCCAATGTTGGAAAATCCCCTGCTGAGATCGTTTCCTGTCTCTAATTTGACCCATTATCATCTCAGGAGATGTTTTTGATGGTGGATGGACTTTTGTTTGAAGTTCTGGACTTGAATTTCAGTCATAAACTTAGTAGCTAATACTTATGGCTGTAACTTAGGGACACTTGAGAAGTTAACATCTGCACACTAACCACAGCTCAGATTCCTGCTTAGCCTTCCAAACCCATGTGCCCTCCTCCGTCCCTTTGACCTGTTCTTATCTCAAACACTGAAGGCATAGTGGGGTTGCTTTCAAGCTATGTAAAACAAGATTAAAAAGGGTCACATGAATGTGCTGGGTTTGAGCCCACATTTTCTTAAACCCCCTTTCCTACCCTTCCTTTAAACAGGACCTAGCCCTGCTTAGTCCCATTTTGAGAGCAACTAGTGTTTATAAAACCACTCCTCCTTGGCATTCAGTATGGTAATACCCATGAACTAGTGATTGCTCTATGTTTGTGTACTGCCGTTTTGCATATGTCACTGCTCACTCATCAACCACTGTATTAGCAAATAGCCACTAATTGTTAAGAGCAGTTGATACAAATGTGTTGTACTCCTGTGGGACAAAATTTATTTTAAAAATGTATGTCCTTAATTAATATTAAGTTCCTAGATGCATTTAAAAATATGACCATGTAGGAGGTTATTATGATACTAAGTTCATACTTTATTTTGCAAAGGTAATCCTTCAGACTGTGTATACACAACGGTTATTTTTCTGATACAAAGATTTAACTTTTTCAAATATCCCAGTCTAATGTAACTCAAGGGATAAAGTTGTCCCATGGGCAAGCCAGGCCTCTTAGTCCCTGAACATTGTTCAGGTGACATGATTAATCTCAGTGGGGCAGCATTAGAGACCACACAGATCTGGTTTCTCTCCCATTAGTTGATTTATGGAATTACATTAGTGAAGAGGTGCCTCTGGGAGGCTGCCCCGCCCCCACTCCTGCTTCTTCCTGCTGCTTTACAGAGAAGCAGAAACTGGAAATCAGGGGAAAGGAAGCTAGCTTGAGATTGTAAGGGATTGGATGGCGAACATTGCGATGGTATCAAGTAAAACTAGGTAACTTTATTTAGAAGTGTGCTTTTTAGAAGGGGAGGAGACATACTAGATGCAAGTTTTAAGTGTTAAGAGCCTCAACCAATGCGAGTTGTGAAGTTCTGGACAAATTCTGTTGCAGTCTGTGCAGAATGATGGTACACATCTGCTAAGCAAGTTCTTTTGTAGCCCACATCCAAAGTAGATGCTCCACCCCCATTCAGAAAGGTACAGCAGGGAGAAACAGCAAATGACTGAACACTTCATAAAGTTTTGAAGTTTAGTGATTTAAAAAAATATAAATATGCATAGATAAAATACTAATCTCTCCTATTTTGAATTGAAACACTTTCCAATTTTTCACTTCGTATAATAATTTCAAAATGAATTTTCAGTTTTGGAACTAAAGCATGCTAGTAGGAAATATTTTTAAGACAAAGATGCAATGTATATTGCCTATAGGAGGGAAAAGGAACATTTTTTCAATAAAATCCAAATAAAAAGACAATTTTTTTGTTATATTACAATGTAACAATGGTACAATCTATGGAGAAGATCCAGAATCTAGGATTGGTAAGGAAAGGAGCACAGAAAAGTTTTGATCAAAGCCCCAAGACACCTTGATCATGAAGACATTGAACTAACCAATGATCTTCTCAGCCCATCACTAGATTAAGGCCGTAGGAGTCAAGGTTGTGTTTATGTTTTGTGTACAACAGAGCTCATATTGTACATAGTAAATCCATACAACTTTATCTGTCGGTTAAAAATATAGTTGCTTTTGAAAATAGGATAATGCTTTGTAATTGAAACCAATATCCTGATCCATGTAAGCAGCATGGAAAAATCTAAGCAGTCTTTTATGTGATAATTAGAAGCAGTGAGATAAAATGGGAAAAAAGCCATTTATAGACTATACTATATAGAGAATATTTTTTGAAACTTAGACATCGTCAAGCAAAACATAAGCAAACATTTGGAAACTCAATGAGAAAAATTTTGAATAACATTGAACTTTAGGCTTCCCCATGATCACATAAAGCTATTTGATGAAGAAAGGGTTGTTCATTTAGTGAGGAGGTTGTAAAGGCGACTTGGCTTGAAAAGTTTTAATGACTTCATTACTAAATTACTCTTTTGTGGGCCAGTCTGTTTTTCTTTTGGGTGGAATGGTGGAGTTTCACACAAACTTACAGACCTGTGTGGAATGTTTCAGTGAAGTGATCTGTAAGACTGAATAATTCGAAAGCTTGCAGAAAGGATAGAGAAAAGTGGAGCATTATTTACCATTGCAAACTGGAGACAGGAGTTGTTGCTATGAGCCTTGAAATTGTGTTGGCATGTTCATTTTGGGAACGAAGTTAAACACTTAACTATTTTAATATTTCCCAGGAATAAGCCCAAATGTGTTTTTTAAAGTTGCCAGTCCCCTTAAAATCTATTAATCAATCATAATTAATCAGATAATCTGACTATATAGCTCACCTTTACCAGAAAAAAAAATCACTTTAATTTTGCATTGGAAAACTTTAATAAGATGGTGTCCTATTACTCAAAGCAGGGTATGTCTCAATTTCTTACATTATACAAAATACTAAAATAGTCACGATTTAGTCATACAGAGATATCTAGATAAAGTAATATGTTGGAGTTAAGATGTGTTTAAATATAATTTTCTCTGATTAATAGGTTAATTTATGAAAGCAGAAATGATCTCAGAATACTTTGTGCAGAGTAGTGATTGGTTGTGCCTTTTCAGTTATTGCTGAGGATATTGCACATTACATGATTTAGATGAAGGAACAGAGCAGTCTGGAAAGTGGTTTGTATAAAAACCCATTTTCAAGGATATATTTTGTATACCCTGTTAGTGCTGTGGGTATATGTGTGCATAATTTTGTTTCTTCAGTAACACTTCAGTATTTATGCCTATCTTTTACTTATTTGCCATTGCTCTGGTATTCTTGGAGTTCCAAGGTACCTGTGGAGGGGTGCAGGAATGATTTTATCCAAGTCATATCTTGTTCCATCACAAGCAGAGACACCTGTCTAGAAACTGAGTTATCCTGCAGAGCAACTGAAAGCCCTCCCTCCATTCAGCATCATGATTTCTGTTTTCTGTTGAGTTATGTTGTATCATGCTTCAGATGAGACAGCCATTTAATAATGTTGAGGACTCATCTCTGCAAGGCTTGATAGGGTCTGCAGGCTTGTTAACTTCTACTCTGAAGCAATATAAGAGATATTTTTTCCTCTGTGAAACTTACAGGCTGTGTCTTGGCTTCTTTTAGGAACTTAAGACTACATAAATAGGTAGAAAATCAAGCTCACTGGATTCCTTCTACATTCTTTTTTGAATATTTATCTCAACTGTTCAAATGCATTCTTTTTTATTAATGGTAAAGCAGTTACTTTTAAAATAAGTCATAATCACTGTATTTTTATGTAAAATCATATAAATTATATTCAGGGAAATGTAATACTAGTTTACTTGCTTTTCATTTTATTTTTTTTTAGTTAAAAAAATAATATTGGGGTCATGTTGTCACATAGAGAGGCTGTAAAAAATGCTCCCAGTCTCAAGCAACATATTATTAAATGAACAATCATTAATATTACACAGCTTCACTGAGGAGTTATTCAAAATGTCAATTAGTTCAACAGAATCAATGCAAGGAAAGGGTTAGATGCTCCCTATAAATAGCAGCTAAAGAACACATTTAGTGTTGAAAAACTGAAATGTATATATTAGTAAACATCAGTATAGATAGAAGATACAGGCATGCATTTGTATACATGTGAGGCAGGTAAAAATGGTTTTGAGATCGAAAAATCAAGTGACCCAAACTATGTGAAGTTTTTGTTGTTGTTTGGTTGTTTTTTAGTTGTCTCCACCCTCCCCAATAGAGTTATGTGAAATGGTGAGATGGTGACTGTTTTAAAGCAGTGATATAGGAAAGCTAGTGTTTCTACAAGGAAAAAGTGAGAGGTCCTAAAGGAAGTCCAATTCCAAACTCCAAGGATGTTTTCAGAAATTAAAAAAGAAAATCAAAATAGGATGCTAAATGCTATGTCAAGATGAAGTGTTTATTCCTTCACTCTTCCAGCAGTTTGAAATTCTGCAGAGAGTGGAAAATAGGACAAAAGGAAAGAACAAGGCTCAAGGTCTGAATGATACATTTGATTTGAGAGTGAGAACTGAGACTGTAGCTTAGACTTCAGGTTTAGCAGGGGATGAATTTGAGATGGGGAGGTCTGTGTCACAGCTGATACTATTTTGACTTATGCCCATGAATAAGCAGCGTAATCCCAGAGCAGAGCTAAAATACTTCCAAGATTAGTAGGATCCTGTCTGAACCTCATCTGCATTTAACTTACATTTTAGAGGGCAGTCTAACGTGTTGAGAAAAGTGTTAAACAGGGAGAAAACTCTGCTGAAAGTGCTCTTCCTTGCTCAGCATACCAGACCATAACCAGATGATTGATAGAAGTGTCCAAGGGGTAGAGATCAAATGGAGAGAACACGGCGCATGTCTGTAGAGCAGGAAGAGTGATGGGCATTTCTGCGGATTTCAGCAGATCTGGCAAATTCTGCAAAAGACCTCTTTTCTCCAAAACTTCATAAAGCACAAGGGGATGAAATAACTTTTGTAAAGAAAGGAAACCACTGAAATGCAATTGTTGGAAGTGGTGGTAATTAGTGATGGTGGATCAGTGGTCAAGGTATTGTGCTGGGAAATGACTGATCTGTGGAAATGTTTCTGTAGGTTTCAATGAGGTGCCTTAATGATTTTGATGGAGTCGAGAATAAGGAGAACTGCGAGACACAGATGGGGGAGAAGTCAGTTGCAAAATCTTTTATGAAATCTTATATACATTGCATCTCACTTCTAATCCATAGAAAACAAAATGTGTTTTCTATCAGTTGCAAGGCTGCTTTGTGTAGAATTGGGGATCATTTGAAACGTGGTACTTTTCTCATGGGAGTTTTTCTCATGGGAGTCTCTTCACATGAATATGGATTTGCGTGATGTGGGGGGTGAGTTGAGCTTGATGCTGACTTTTCACAGCACAGGTGACAGGATATTAGACTACTGTAGGCCTGGTATATCAGAGGTCCATGAGACCAATGTGTTGGCTTCTTAGTAGCACATGAGAAGTGGAATAAAGCAGAAAGGAACAGAAAGCATGGATGTACCACAGGCAATGAGTGTTGTTCAGTTGTACTTTCAACTGCATTAGGCTGCTGTGTTTAATGTGAACTTGTTGGCTACTTTCTAATAAAAAATGGAAAAACATTAGCAATATAAGTAAAACAATGAAACAAGTTTATAGTGTGGAAGGAAATTATATCTGAACATTTGTTAGCAAGACAAGGAGTAAAGCACAGATGTTTCTATAAAGGGCATGCTTTGATTCTCGAGGTAGTCCTCTGCCTGTGTTGTGCATGTACTGCTCTCTGATGCCTGAGTTCTCCACACACACACACACACACACACACACACACACACACACACACACACACACACACCACACAGCTGCACTGTTGTGTTCAGGCTTAAAGAACCATTTTTCTTTATTCCCAACAACTGCACTCTGTTTGTACCTTTATGACTCCCTAACTCTGGAGTAGCTTATTTTTTTTTCTTTTGGGGCCTATGACCCAGCTCCCACATAACTACATGGAGACTTATTCTTACTTATGAATGCCCAGCCTTGGCTTGTTTCCAGCCAGTTTTTCTTAACTTAAATTATCCTATCTTTTGCCTCTGGGCTTTTACCTTTTTCTATTCTATATACTTTTCTTTCCTTCTTATGCCGTGGCTGGTTGTGTGGTTGGGTGGCTGGCCCTTGGTGTCCTCCTCTTCTCTTTCCATTTTCTCAGTCCTTCCTCTTCCCATTCTTCCCCTATTTATTCTCTCTGCCAGGCAGCCTTGCCTGTTTCTCTCCCTGCCTAGCGATTGGCCTTTCAACTCTTTATTAGACCAATCAAGGTGTTTTAGGCAGGCAATGTATCATACTTTAAGAGTTAAACAAATGCAACATGAGAACCCAACACATCTTTGCATCATTAAACAAACATTACACATTCTTATATTCAATTCCCATCTAAGAAATCAACTAATTAAAAATGGAACAGTGAAATTTTAGATAACTCTAGAAGCAACAGCACACTGGTGGGCATGGCTTACCTTGGTTTTGTCTTCTGTATCTGGATAAGGGACACAAAGGGGTATATGGTGACTGCACTGTCACTGTGGGTGGTACATGATGTCATATTAAGATTTTCTGCTGTGTTTCAAGGTGTGCTGTTAGGTTCTGAATAAGAGAAAGGGGAATGTTGGAAGAAACAAGGATGGACAGTGGAGGAGTGAGAAGCACAGGAGAGCCAGGAGCACACACAGGCTACAGGATTGCTGCAGACTGGGAAAACATTGAGTTGCTCTAGGTCACCCCAAGTCTCCTTAAATCAGAAATGAACAGATGCTGTCAGTGTTTTACAATTTGAGAAGATGGATTTGGGATTACACCCACTAGAACCATTCAGTGTTCTCTCTCGTCATTTGTCACAATGGAAAAGTTAGTTCCAGGGAAACTAGCTTAGCTCAGCTTTTCTTGCCTTTGCTGAATTCTCTCCAGTCCCACCCTTCTCCCCTCTCCTTTCTTTTCTTTTCCTCTTTCAATTTTCTCTTTAACTTAGCTGTTTAGTTGTAAACATAGGAAAGCCAAGGTGAGAAGACAAATCCTCAAAATTAATGAATGATTCCAGAGTTCAGTGTATATCTGTGGGTGTCTGCCTCTGCTTCCATCAGCCACTGGGTGAGGGCTCTAGGATGGCATAAAAAGTAGTCATCAGTCTCATTATAGGGGAAGGGCATTTAGGTTATCCTCTCCACCATTGCCTAGATTATTAGTTCTGACATCCTTGTAGATCTCTGGAAAGCTCCCGAGTGCCAGATCTCTCCTCGGATCTATGATGGCTTCCTCTGATATGGTATCTCTCATCCTGCTCTCCTCTATTCTTCTCCTATTTCTGCTCCCCCATTTCCTCCTCTCCTGGAACCTAGTTGCAGAGCAGGAGGAATGAAGATCAAAGGGGTCGGTACCAGGCTGGTGAAACCCACAGAAACAGCTGGCCTGATAAAGGGGGAGCACATGGACCCGAGACTGCTGTCTGGGAGGCCAGCACAGGACTAATCCAGACCCCTGAACATGGAGGCCTCTGCACTCTAGGGGGTTCCTGGTGAAGCAAGCTTGTTCCTAATTTGAACTAATAAAAAATAAGAAAAAAATTAATTAATAATAGTGTTTAGGGAACTAAAGACATTTATTTATAAACAACCAAGTATCCAAAAATGTTAACATAATTTTAAAGTGGTTATGAGAAAAATTCCAGGACAAATACTGAATTGAACATAGAGAAAAAGGTTCTAGATAGATGGTGAAGATAATTGCTTACTACATATTATAAACAAATCCCATGACTAAAATTGGGCTTACTAATTTTCTTTGAGTTACTATGTTTCCACAAAGATGTAGAAAAACCCATGAATATTTCCTGAGGGTGAATTTGAACCCATAGACTAGATTATTCTGGGATGTGGTGATACTCTGATGTCAAAGTCATGGAATCCTTCATGTGTGTATCCTCTTCATGAAAGTGAACTTAAATATCCTTCCAGTGATTGAGGACACAGGTACAAAACTTGAACAAGTTTGATTAATTAATTATTGGTTTTATATTATTTATTTTAAAATGTTAAGAGGAAAGATGAAGAAGTTAGACTAATTGTGGACATTCTTTGTGCTAGTGATTCTAAATTGAGAGCAGAAAGAGAGAAGAGGCAAAGGGAGAGGAGAAGGAGATATTGGGAGAGCCAGGCTTCAAAAGCCTCATGGTATTCTTGGGGGCAGGCTTCTAGCCAAGTGAATTGTTTTGGTGATGACATCTAATTGGTGGATCTACTTAGAATTAATATTTTCTGGGTTCCTTTGGGCAATTTAGGTGCGTAATACCCCCAGGGGATTCTGGGCTGGGGCTATGTTGAGGAGATGTTAAGCAATGTGCCAGTGACTTCAATCAAAACATTACGCAACTTACACCTTTATGCAATACCAAAAACTTAATGTTTCTCCAGGTCTATAAGAATGAAAATACCATAAGTTAGGTGGGCTATGCATGGTAATTGTTACTATTGTGTTTTAGTTTATTGAAATTTAGAGGCTATTCAAATCCAGCTTTAATAGCTTCAGTATTGTAAGTGATCCACAATTTTCTTGTGTTTATACAAATATCTCTTCTTGTTTTCAGTAAAAGAGTGGTGAGCCTGATAACAATCCCTGGCTGTAACAAAATTTACCCTAAATTTCAAAATTCTTAAACCGCTTCTTCAATTTTTTAAATAGCTAATTTTACCTACAGGAAATCTTCAGACAGGAATTAGCAGAGTAGTATCAGGGAGAG